GATTATTGCAAAGGGAATGTACAGTACAATTTACAAATATAATAATAATTCTTGCATTTGATATAGCGCTTAATCATGTCGTTGAGACATCTCAAAGAGTTTCACAGGATATACTGGAAAGTGTAGTGACTGTATTTTGTGGGCGAAACACGGCAGCCAAATATGCAGAGCAGTGACCCACAAACAGCCATGGAGTGAGTGACCTATTTTATTTGAGATTGTTGGCCAGGACACCGGGAAAGAGAAACTCCCTTCTCTTTTCGAATAGTGCAATGGGATTTTTAACGTCCACCCGAACAGGCAGACAGGACGTCGGTTTAACGTCTCATCTGAAAGTGGCATCTCCGACAATTAAAAACATCCCCTACATTGGACCATCAGCTTAGATCTACTATGTGATTCCAAATCCTGACTTGGGACTTGAATCCACAACCTTCAGACTCAGAGGGTGCTACCATGATGGCCTTCTTTAGTGCCGGAGATGTCTCAGGTTGTATGATCCTAGGTGTGGTTCCATGCCCAGTCAAGTTTCAGACTGAACCCATATATACTCTTGTAGTCCTGTAGTGGTTAGTGCGCTCACCTCGCAAGCGAGAAGACCTGGGTTCGATTCCGGGCAGCGTAAAACATTAGGCAAGTTCCCTTACATCACAAGCCTCTGTTCACCTAGCAGTAAGTAGGAACCCAGATGTTAGACGATTGGCAGATCGATTTTCTGGGGGTAACAATCCCTGGGAAAAAAAATTAATTCAAAAAAGTAATAGTTTTGGTCACTTGGAAGGGCAGACTAGACACTGGGGGCAGGGAATCCTCCCACTCAGCTCCTGCAAGCCAAAGCCCTAACGAGTAGGGTGTCCAAACTGGACAAGCAGCGGGAAAGCTTGGCAGACAGGATTTGAAAACCTGCTGGAAACATTGTGTAGGTTCCCAATGTTAATGGTTACTAAGACCTGACAACCTGAGGGAAGGAACACTTGACCATTTCCCCTCCTCCCCTCCTCCGCAGCGACGATCACATCTATCTTCTTCCCCGCAAGGAAAACATTGTTTGTGCTATTGGAAGAGCTTTATTTGTCCAGACATGAAAATGGCCGAGCGAGACACCAGATTAACCTGCAGCGATGGGGGTGGGGGTGGTGAGAGGTGGGGGTGGGGGGGGGGGGGTGGGGGGCGGTATGCTCGGGCCGCGAGACACAGCAGTGTGTTGACTGCCCAGCTCTCCCAGCCGGCTGTCACACCCACTGAAGGGCAGTGCGTCTGATCTGAGAAATGCACTGCGATTGCTCTCCTCCGCGGCACAAGGCTGTGATGGTCTCTGTCGTATCAATTTTCCCCTGCACCACACAGCTTGTCGCTGTGAATTTTCATGCCAGTCAGCCTGGTCTTTGCAGTAGACAGGAGGGGAAGGTGTACATCATGCTCTGAATACAGGGAAGAGGAGGGTTATTTATAGACGCTGATCGAGGCCCCAGCAGGTCTTCGCTCACAGCCTGATGACACAAATCAAAGTTCGGATCCCACTTGACGGCTCAGACAACATGGTCTGAGGTGTCACCTGTGACTTGGTTTCTCCAGGTTCTTTCTCTTTGACTGCGGGCGGGCGAGCGGTCGGGGTGGGGGGGTGTGGGGGAGGTTGGCGCTGTCAACACTGAACGCATCTGACAGGCGGAGATGTCAGCTGCTTCGTATTTGACCTTGCTCGCCTTCAATCCCTCCCCCACCCACCACACGGCAGAGCACAGCCACCGGGGTGACCAATGCACTGAGAATGATCAGAGGTGAGGGAGGGGGGAGAGGGGGGGAGGGGGGATCGGAAGATGTGATGGGTAGTTGGAAGTGGCGTTCCGAGGCCTACGGCTTGGAAATAATTGGAAATAGGAACGAAGGGACATACACACACAGAGGCACACACACATAACACAGACATGCGTGCACAGGGGCACACACATATACACACACACATATATATATACACACAAACACAGTCACACACCGACAGACACAAGCACACACACATGCAGAGAATCTGATGGCTTACATTCATGGCCTGCGGAGGCTCCCAGTTCTTCATTGAGTCCATCTGTCAAGGTTAGACATGGCAAAGGGACTCTAACTGCAAAAACACACGTAAAACAAGGAACAGTTGAGATATTGATCTGGGCTGTTCCCGCTGTCCATCTATCTGTCCGTCTGTCTGTCTGTCTGCCTGATATGATATTTGTCAGTTTCATCTGACCCAGGAAACCTCTCCATCCATTCAGGCCACCACTCAGCATCCACGCAAGTCAGTCAGGTCCATCGGTGACATGAGGACAATGCATTCTGAGCCTACATTGCCCGGCGTCTTCCGTCACCTGTCTGTTTTCCATCATCTGCCTGCCCTCCGTCCCCTGCCTGCCCGCCATCCCCTGCCTGCCCGCCATCCCCTGCCTGCCCTCCATCCCCTGCCTGCCCACCTGTCCTGCGTCTGCAATCATCTGTCTGTCTGTCTGGGATCATACGTAACAATGCATTGCAGACAACACGACTGATGATGGGAATGGATGGCCTCCGGTGCTGGGAGCCCGAGCTTGGGTCAGTCACTCACATCCTGACGGTACGTCTGGCAGCTGCGAGTTATCACTGAAATTGGAAACTAAGCAACAAATAAGCTCACAGAGAAATATTCAGTACGTAGACAGGCAGGCGAGCAATCCCATCAGCACCACTAATCCCAACACCCTCCAAACAGCCCCTGAACCCCATCCCCAAAAAAACAGCCGACCTGACTCTCCCAAACAGCCCCTGAAACTCCCCCAATATCTCCCCCGATACCCCTCTGATAATTTCTCCCCTCTCCCCCACACACCACCTGACATGATGCCCTGACACCCTTGGTGTAGGAGGAAGTGGTTCTGTTTCATGGGAAACTGACATCAGTTCTGGGTCTGAATGGACCAGCCAATGTGAGGGATTCCATCTTCACTGTCCAAAGGTCCAAGCTGAAAGAATAAACAGGAGAATGAGGAGGAGAATTTTAACTGGGGCACCATAAGAGGGAAAAGGAAATGAAGGATTCAGGAGAGGGGAGTACAGGAGAGAGGGGTGGGAGCTCATGGGGTGCATAAACATTGGCGCGCACTAGTTTAGCTGAATAGCCTGTTTTTGTGCCAGGTCAGTAGGTGTAACTCAATACAGAAGAGGGAGAAGGGTACAGAGAGAGAAAACATTGTTGAGATAAAGACAGAAAGAGTAGGAGAGAAACGAGGTGAGCAGACCATAAATACTCAGCCTAATCGTCCTTTCCATTGGTGAGGCCAATCCTCCATTGCCTGGTGAGGCCAATCCATGGTCTGCTGGTCAACCCAACTGCTGGTGAGCCCAATGCTCCTACGTCTGGTGAATCCAATCCACCATTACTCACTGAACCCAATCTTCCATTGCCCTGTGCTCTCTGGCTTGTCAGCCCAAGACGTCTGTTTCTGGTGAACCTGATCCTCCGTTGCCTAGAGAGTCGAATCCTCCAACGCCCAGTCAATCCCAAGCATGCTATTACGAGTGAACCTAATTCTCCATTGACAGCTGGTGAGCCCAATATTCTGTTGTCTGGTCAGCCCAATCCATAATTGCCTATGGAATCCATTGTATTTTGAAGTCAATCCACCAATACTTGCTGAGTCCAAATTGTCAATTGGCTGGTGAACTCAATCTTCCATTGCCCAGTAACCCCATTCCTTCATTCCTTGGTCAGATCAAACCTACTAAGCCTCTTCAGCCTCATCCACCCAATGCCTGGTCAGCCTAATCTATCATTGCTTATCAGCCCGAGCTTCCTATGTCTGGTAAGATCAATATTCTATTGCAGCCTGTTCCTTATGCCTGTTCCTCGCCTATCTAACTGATTCCCATTTGTTGTATTGCCAACAATGCGAAAAAGAGCTCTGCTTCAACTTTTGCTATGTAAAATTCAATGTGATCCTTGTTCACCCCCAGCAACACTTTCAAGTGCCGCCCCCAGTTCCATCCCCAACGTCAAGCCGCAAACAGCATCACCCCCAATGTCAATCCCAATACCATCCCCAGCATGATGTCACCAACCCCCAGCGTGACATCACCAACCCCCAGCGTGACATCACCAACCCCAAGCATGACATCATCAACCCCCAACGTGACATCACCAACCCCCAAGCATGACATCACCAACCCCCAAGCATGACATCATCAACCCCCAAGCATGACATCATCAACCCCCAACGTGACATCACCAAACCCTAGCGTGACATCATCAACCCCCTCAGCATGACATCATCAACCCCCAGCGTGACATCACCAACCCCCAGCGTGGCATCACCAACCCCCAAGCATGACATCATCAACCCCCAAGCATGACATCATCAACCCCCAACGTGACATCACCAAACCCTAGCGTGACATCATCAACCCCCTCAGCATGACATCTCATCAACCCCCAGCGTGACATCACCAACCCCCAGCGTGACATCACGAACCCCAAGCATGACATCATCAACCCCCAGCGTGACATCACCAACCCCCAGCGTGGCATCATCAACCCCCAGTGTAACATCACCCGGGGTAACGCCAAAACAATTTGGAAGGGAGCATGACATTGTCAACCCCCGGCACGCCATCACCAACCCCCAGCATGACATCATCAATCCCCAATATGACATCAATATGGGGGAGTGGGGTTGTTTAACAACAACATCTTGCCCCTCAGCAGGAGAGTGTCCCAGAGCGCCTGACATGGCGGAGCATGATGCCGAGCCAGGGGGATGGGCGAGATGACCGTTGAAGAGGAAGGTCTTCAGGCACGACCTGAAGATGTGGAAGGAGGGAGCAAGGTGGAGAGATAGAGGAACAGTGTTCCAAAGTTTCAGGGCATAGTGGCTAAAAGCACGGGCACCAATGGTGGAATGAAGGGCTCGCCTGCCTGTCTATGTACGGGGATTCAACTCCTGACGTTTCGTGAACTGACCTGGGTAGCCTCCGGGTTAGTGAGGAGCTAAACCTGACAAGATACCTGGAGGTGACGACCATTCAGAGCTCACGTTGGAGTGAGGTGACATAGGGTACTCCGCCCTGTATGACCACCAGAAAGCTTTCCGAGTTGGTAGTTAGCTTGAATCTGAGTCCCGAGCCCGTGCCCATATCTGTCTGAGACCAACAACCGAAGGGAAAGAGCCCCTGTATCACAGGAAACACACAGCAGTTTATGTTCAAGTCAAGTTTATTTTGAAACGTTATTTTTCCAAATAAATTTAAGACAAAAATGATCACCGAGATTTAATAATGAACACGGAGGGAAGGGGTACAGTGGGATGGACGTTGCTTCCACGATAGACCGGACTTCTGCCTCTGGGACCTTAAATCCAGCCCAAGCTGATGAGATAAAGTCTCCTCTCTCAGGGGGGAGATGTGTGACAAGCATAAAGGGTCAGCCTCACTCCTGTACCTCATGGGTGTATTGGCAATTAATTAGCGTTCTCACTCAAGGAGGGCACAGGATGGTGGTGTGGGGAATGTCACACTGGTGCAGTAGGGGGCCGTCCTTCTGAGCTGACCTGGAACAGTGTAGAAGGAGCTTTACTCTGTATCTAACCCATGCTGTAACTGACCTGGGAGTTACAAAGAATTACATAGAATGATAAGGCACGGAAACAGGCCATTCGGCCCAACTACTCCATGCCAATGTTTATACGTTACATGAGCCTTCTATTTCCCTCTCTTACACACCCCTCTATCCCCCTCTCCTACACCCTTCTATCCCCCTCTCCTACACTCCTCTATCCCCCTCTCCTACACCCCTCTATCCCCCTCTCCTACACCCCTCTATCACATCCCTCTATCCCCCTCTCTTACACGCCTCTATCCCCCTCTCCTACACCCCTCTATCCCCCTCTCCTACACCCCTCTATCCCCCTCTCCTACACCCCTCTATCCCCCTCTCCTACACCCCTCTATCCCCCTCTCCTACACCCCTCTATCCCCTTCTCCTACACCCCTCTATTCCTCTCTCCTACACCCCTCTATTCCCTTCTCCTACACCCCTCTATTCCCCTCTCCTACACTCCTCTATTCCCCTCTCCTATACCCCTCTATTCCCCTCTCCTACACCCCTCTATTCCCCTCTTAAAGCACTCTATTCTCCCCTCCTACACTCTTCTATTCCTCTCTCCCACACCCCTTTATTCCCCTCTCTCACACTCCTCTATTCCCCTCTTCCACACTCCTCTATTCCCCTCTCCCATCCCCCTCTATTCCCCTCTCCCATCCCTCTCTATTCCCCTTTCCCATCCCTCTCTATTCCCCTCTCCCACCCTCCTCTATTCCCCTCACCTAAACCGCTCCATTTCCTTCACCCTCATGTACGCATTAAGTTTCTCTTAAATATATTGATGCTATTTGCTTCAACCACAGCTTCCAGCAGTGAGGTGCATGTTCTCACCACCCCCTGCATGAAGAAGTTCCTCCTAAGCTCCCATTTAGATCTGCTACAAACTATCTTATCAAAAGGCAACAAGATTAGTTTGGATGAAGAAGACCCTTCGGCCTTTGCGATCTCATCCTTCAGACCACCCACCCTCCCATCCCTCCAGCACAGCATCAAACTGCTTTTTAAATGTGTCCCAGTGTCCTGGTCTCAACCACCCTTTCTTGGTAACCCTGTTCCAATCACCAATAACACGTGATATCTGTCCTGAAGTTACCCTTTATAACTCTAAACCAGTCTGGCATTCTAAAGTTTTAATCTGGGTTTACTTTTNCAACCCCATTTAAAATGTACACACCTCCATGAGATCCCTTCTGAGTCATCTTCTCTCAAGACTGAAGAGCCAGCCCCAGTTTGCCTAAATGTTGCTCATTGGTCCTTTCATAATAGTGTCGAGAACTGTTTGCTATATTCAAGGTGCTGAGCCCTGAGTCGCCTAAGTATGGTGTCTGGGGATCTAAACTCAACTGATTGAGAAATCTAGCCCAGCATCCTGTTTATTGCTGCCTCACACTGTTATAATATAGTGAGCGACGAATCAACTAAGACTCCTAGATCTGTCTCAGCTCCCACCTTGGCAAGTTCAATCCTATCCATGGAGGACTTGTGTTACCTAGTCTTGGATCCTATATGGAGTACCTTACATTTGCCAGTTATCAGCGCATGTGTATACCGTCAACCTCTCTTTGTAGGACCTTTGCTGCCCCCCTCTTATTCCACAGTTCTCTTCCACTTGGTGTCACTTATAGTTGTAACTGTCTTACACTGGATCTGTGAATCCAGTCATTGATATATACAACAAACAGACCCCATGAGGTATCTTGCTTAATACCTCTACGCATTGTCACCTGGCTCCCCTGACAAACACTCTCCGCTTCCTTCTCTTCAGCCAATTCTGAATCCATATCTATGTCTTTCCCTTGATACCCAGTGGCCACAGCTTGTGAAGGAGCCTTCCTTTCATCTGGTACTTTGTCGAACACCTTTCGGAAGCTACACTACATCAGATTTGGGATGTCATCTCAAAATTACTATCTATTAATAATAATCTTTTCTCAACCCAAGATGACCTTCATTTTTGAATTATCTTGGATGTACACCCTCTCATTTTGGAGTCACCCAACAAGTGAACCCCTTAACAACATCAACCTTATTTCATCATCTTAAACCCTCTCAATCATCTCAACTCCAGGTTTTATATAAATGTAACATTCCCTCTCTACTTGTATTCTCTCCTCGATTTCAAGATTCTCCCACTCGTCTTCAAATCCCTTCATGCCCTACCTCTCCGACCTGCTTAGTTCCCAACCCACTACTGCTGCTTCCGCTCAACTGGAGCCAGCCTCCTGCTTTTCCCTTGTGCCCTCCGTTCCACCATCAGTGGCTACGCTTTCAGCTACTACGTCCCAAAAGTCTTGAACACTTTTCCTCTATCGCTCCACCTTACTCCTTCCTTCCCCATTTTCAGGTCGTGCTCTGCCACTGTCAAGCGCTCTGGGAGACTGCACTGCATGAGGAGTGCTATATAAATGCAAGTTGTTGTTCCTGTGGACATAAAGCCGAAAACTGCATTTTTTATGGCTTGGTCCACCTGTGCTGCTCTTTTGTCCTGCAAACCTGGTCCCCAGATCCCTGTGCTCCTCTCAGGTTTCTACCATCCAGAGCTTAGTTGAACCGTCTCACATTTACCTATACTGTATTAAATTTCACTTGCCATTTCATTTCCGTCCAACATCCCAGGTCTGGGAATGTCCTGGGAGTATGGATGGACAGTGTCGAGGGAGCTTTACTCCGTCTCTAACCCGTGCTGTTGCTGACCTGGGAGTGTGGACGGACAGTGTAGAGGAATCTTTACTCTGTCTCTAATCCATGCTGTCACTGGCCTGGGAGTGTGGACGGACAGTGTAGAGGGATCTTTACTCTGTGTATAAACCGTGCTGTAGCTGACCTGAGAGTGCTGGACAGACAGTGTAGAGGAGCTTTACTCTGTCTCTAACCCATGCTGTCACTGACCTGGGAGTGTGGACGGACAGTGTAGAGGGAGCGTTACTCTGTCTCTAACCCGTGCTGTCGCTGACCTGGGAGATTGCCGGACGGACAGTGTAGAGCGAGCTTCACTCTGTATCTAACACATTCTGTAGCTGACCTCGATGAGCACACAATCCACCCCCGAGTAAAGATTGCCGATGTACAGCCTGCATTGATAAACGAAAGTAACCAACACCAGAAATACAAACTGTCGCTCCATATTTCAAGTAATACTAGTACATCTCTTCCTACCTGTGATTGTGTATTGTCTGTGACCTGCGAGCCTTGGTAGGAATCCCCATTAATTGACTGCATGTTTGTGTACAGATCTCCAGTGTGCGGAACGCTGTATGAGGCAGAGGAACCTGAAAGGATAGAGGTTTGTAATTGAATGACAGAGGGACTCATCTGTGCCATCAGCAGCCAGGACAAGCACAGTAACACAGTGACAAATACACACACCCCATCCTCAAACATCAATACTCTCTCCGTTCTGCAGCTTAGAGATACATAGTTACCTCGACTATACCAACTCGACCATACCAACCTGTCCGCTCAGAGGCCTGCTTCATGTCTCCGCCCTAACTACCTCCACCATTCAGGCCTTCAACCTCTCTGCTCCCACCCTCTGGGAACTCCATCCCGGAGCCCCCACCTTTGCTTACTTCAAGGCACATCTCAAGGCCATTCTTTTCGACCGTGCCTTCGGCCACACTCCCACCCCGACCTGTTATGGGCATAACAGGTGCCTTCGGCCACATTCCCCCACCAGCCCCTTACCAATTCCAACCTCCAGCTTGGGTGCAAACCCTTCACTGACTAGCATCTTGGGATATCCTCCCGACACATGCAAAGACACACGCAAAGACCACAGCAGACACTGACATACACACACACACAAAGCACCCACACCCCACAACACACTGAGACACATGCAAAGACTACAGCACAAACTGACATTCATACAGAGAACACCCCTCCACCCCCCGCCCTGACATACAACAATGCACATGCAAAGACCACAACACACACACAAAGCCCCACAGCCCTGTCACACACAGACCATGGAGTAGAAGAGGAAAGAGATCTTGTAGATAAAGACATATAAGAATATAAAAGGCCAATGGGTCTTGGGCTTCATATCCAGAGGATTAGAGCATAAAAGTGAGGAGGGAATATAGAATTTATACAAAACCTTGGCTAGACCACATTTTGAGTATTGTTTCCACTATGAAAAGGATATATACAGTGATGCAAAGAGTAGAGAGTAGGTTTACGAGGATGATACCAGGGCTCGCAGGTTACTGCTATCAGGCCAGATTGGATAGGGTTGAGGGGATGGTTAAAGGGGATCTAATAGAAATTTTTAAAATGATAGAAAGGCTCGATAAGATTAACATAAATAGGCTGTTCCCACTGAGGAGTCCGTGAGGTACAGACGGAAGCGGGCAATGCGACGGAGGTGGAAAAAAGCGGTCCTGGTCAGGGAATGGATGTGGGGTAGAAAGGAAAGCTGGGGATCGAACCTGATGCCCAAGTTATGCACAGGTTCGGAGAGCCTGAAGGAGAGCCCTGGGAGGTTGAGTTCAGACCTGCAGGAGAGAAGACGTTGACGAGAGCCAAGGAGTATGGCTTCCGTTTTGCCGACATTCAGCTGCAGGAAATTTGCGCTCATCCAGGCCTTGTCACACAATGAGACACACACACATACACACACACAGGGAACTAAACACACACGCTCAGGGAGCCAAACACACCTCACAGTGAGATACACATACACACAATGAAACATACATAGTAAGACACACAGTGAGGATCTGGGGCACACAACAGGTGGGGGTGGGTGGACCTCATCAGGAGCAGGGGTGTGAAGGTAGGACCTAGGATAGAGTGAGGTTCTAGACCAGTCGTGGCCAACCCATGGCCTGTGTGGGGCATCAAGTAGTGTCCTGCTGAACATTCTCACTAGTCTAGGTAAGTTTGTGTTAAATCAATGTCTTTGTTTCCAGTAGTGATATTTATGGTGCAGCCCTACATCAAGGGCAAAGACTCTGCCCTAGCCCCCACCCCNCACACACCACAACAATTACCCTCCAACCCCCACATATACCAACGACAGGCACTCAGACAGCATTGTGTGTTTACACACACAACAGTACACTGAAAGCAATATACAATATTATTAGTATTATTATTAAACAGAGCCTCAGGTTAGTGACAGGATGATCGATATGAATGGGGGCTTTATAGAGAGGCCAAACACTAAGACACCAGAGACCAAACTCACACGCCCACACTCACACAAAAAACATACATGCGCACACACTGACGCCCTCGCCCACAAATACGCTCACACATGCGTACATACATACAACAACAACAAAATTACATTCATAGAGCGCCTTTCACGTCGGGAGGACGTACAGACACAACGACCAGTGAGCTGGTCCTCACCTGGGAGCACAGCCTCAGAGCGGCTGGGGGTGGCTCTGGGTGAGGGTATGGAGCTTCAGGTGGGGAGATGCAGAGCACTGGGTGGAGGGACTGAGGACATGGCGGGACTGTGGACATGGCGGGGCTTTGGACATGGCGGGGCTGTGGGGAGGGGGCAGGAGGGGCCTCCAGCAGGGCTGCAGGGGTAACGGGGGAGGGGGGGAGGGGGGGAGTTGGCTGCGGGCCAGGGGGTGAGATCTGGGCGACGGGGCTCTTGGTGGAGTTGGTGTGGAATCTGGCCTCCTGTGTTACTCAACATTCAGCCGGGAAAACAAGCCAACAGGACCCCTGGCGCCAACCCCCTCCCCCACCTGCACAGCTAGGACCCGGGGCTGCTATCTCAGTCAACAGCTAAAGACACGCCCCCCCCAGTGTTACACTGAGAAAGAGAGGTTAGAGACACCCCCCCAGTCTCCCCAGGCTTGAGACACTCACAGTCAGTGACACTTATACCCACAGCTGAGTGCAAACTAGACCCTATAACTGACCCTAAAGACAACTCTCAGCTCGTCCCCCTCAACCCTCAGCCCCCCCCACCAACACTCAGCCCCCCGCACCAACCCTCAGCCCCCCCCACCAATCCTCTGCACCCCCCACCAACCATTAGCCCCTCCCCTCAAAGCCTCAGCTCCTCCCCTCAATCCCTAGCTCCACCCCCAAACACTCAGCTCCACCCCCTCAAGTCTAAGGCTTCTCCCTCTCAGTTCTACGCTCCTCCCCTCAACCCTCAGCCCCTAACCCTCAGCTCCTCAGCTCAACACTCAGCTCCTCCCCCGTAACTCTCACTCCACCCACAACGCTCAGTTACTCCCCATCAACTCTCAGCTCCTCTCCCTCAGCTCCTCCACACCCCAACTTCTCACATTCACTCTCCATTTGGTTAACACTCCCCATTTTCTGACACCCCCACCACCTGCATCTCTTATGGGGACGCCCCTCAATGAGTAGAAAATGAGTAACACTCTGGGTGCGTTGGTCCCATTTGCCGTGGTGCTAACCAATGACTGAGAAAGCAGCGTGAGTTCTGTAGGAACACAGGAGTAAGCCATTCAGCCCCTCAAGCCTGTTCTGCTATAGCTGTGGAAAGAAGGGTCGCGGACCCACACTCCCCCATCTCCAATATTCTCCAGTTTTAGTAATCCATAGCAAGATACCAGTGGACTTAAATGACAACTCCTCCCTCCCAGATTACAATTTGCCCAAACTGAAAGGTCACTTGACATGAGAGCCACTTCAGCTCTTATTCAGTCTTAATTAAAATAAACACAAGAAACCCAATTTAGGTTAGCAAAAGCCTTTCTTAATCAGACACTAGTGAATTTGGTTGGTAATAATAATAATAATAATCCTTGCATTTGATATAGTGCCTTATGATGTAATTGAGACGTCTGAAACCGTTTCACGGAATAATTGTAAAGTGGATTAGCTGTGTATTTTGTGGACAAAACACAGCAGGCAATCAATCAACTGAGAACAGCTAGCCAAAAACAATGGACTCTTTCCATCAAACCTTTCCCCCATTCGTTGTAAATGACCACTTTATTATGACCACCGCGAGGAAGGAATGGTCGGTACACTGACGGTACACGGCCACAGGAAGTCCAACCACCAGACGTCCTGTCATGGAAACTGATCTTCCTGTCTTTGACAATTGACCTTTCAGCTTTCCGACGACCACAGCCCTTTAAAAGAGTTGTCAAATTTCAGATCGTATTAGGGTCTGGCTGTGCAAAGTGGCCCACAGACACTCACCAGCGGAGTTGGGAGTGGACGGGGAGTTGGCTTGGCTTCCGTGAGCTACCGAGTTTTTCGCAGTTACCGCTGTTTTGGCGGCATACACATTGGCCTCCTCCTGCAACTTGCCTATGTTTTTCTTGTAGCGGATTCGCTTGTTACCAAACCAGTTTGACACCTGTTGAGAGAGAGCGAGAGAACAAGCAGGAGTCAGTCTCAATCAGGGAGCAGCCCCACACTGCACAACAACAACAACAAAATGTAATTGCATTTTTACAACGCTTTTCATATCGGAGGACCAAGTCAAGAGGGTTGGAGCACAAGGGGAGGTGGGAGGATGGCCGAAGGCATGGTCAAAGAGGAAGGCCTTGAGACTGGCTTGAAGGAGGCAAGGGAGAGGGTGAGGCGGAGGGGCCCTAGAACAGAATTCCAGAGGATGGGGCAGAAAGTTGAAGGCCATCAGGTGGGGTGGGCAAAGCAGGGGATGTGAAGCAGGCGAGTGCCTGCCGAGCGGCGAGAGTGGACAGGTTGGGGTGGGGGGAAGCCAGTGAAGCCAGGCAAGAAGGGGCTGATTGACTCACTGAGCTTAGGTTGGGGGAGAACACGAGTACGAGGACCATTAGGGGGTCCAGTTATAGTAATATGTAATACAAGATAATACAAATTTACATTTATATAGTACTTCTCACAGTGGTAGGATGTCCTATATATATTATCATCATCCTTACATTTGATATAGTGCTTTATCTTTGTGGATATACTGTAAAGTGAAGTGGTTATATATTTTGGAGGTGAACACAGCGGCCATTTTTGCACACAGTGACATTCCCACAAACAGCCATGAAGTGAATGGGCAATTTTATTCGGGGATTGTTGGCCAGAATCCTGGGAGAGAGCAACTCCCATCTCTAGTATCATGGGATCTTTAACATCCACCTAAACAGGCAGACAGGACCTCAATTTAACATCTCATCTGAAGGTCGGCCTCTCCGATAATGCAGCGCTCCTCCAGGTGCAGCAAAACCTTAGGCAAGTTTCCTTACTCCACATGCTTCTGTTTACCTGGTAGTAAGTAGGAACCCGGTTGTTAAGTCGATTGACGGATCGCTTTCCGGGAGTAATAATCTCCCTCTCCAAATGTGGTCATTCTGTTTGTGGGACATTGCTGTGTGCAGTGCAATTGGCAGCCACATTTCATCCACAAAATACAGTCACTCCACTTTACAATATATCCTGTGAAGCGCTTTGTGACGTCTCAACGACGTGATAAGGCGATATAAAAANTCCAAGGATTATTATTATTATTATTATTAAGTCCCGATATGGGGCTTGAACCCACAATCTTCGGACTCAGGAGACAAGAGAGCTAACAACTGAGCCAGACTGACAGGAGCTTAGGATAACAATGAACCTAGCTTTCCCTCCACCAACTACACTGATGTGTTTGCTGGAAGACACAGGGCAGGTTCGGGAGTGGAGCAGGGATTAATGTTCTGTATCTCTGCCTGGTGTGACAGAGCACTCACCTGTGCCACTGTTATACTGCATTTCTTTGCCAGTTCCTCTTTGGCCTCTTCGCTGGGGTAAGGGTTGCTGAGGTGAGAGTAGAAATACTCATTGAGAATTTCGGTGGCTTGCTTGCTGAAATTACGTCTTTTCCTCCTGAAATCAGAGAGATTGAAAACACCCAATGATATGAGGAGAGAGAGAGAGAACATGAACCATGCAGGAGGGAATAGAGGAAATTGAGGGGTGTAGGACAGTAGGAGAGGGGAATAGAGTGGAGTAGCAGAGGATAATAGAGGGGTGTAGGAATACATAGGTTTATGAGAAGGGAATAGAGGGGCAGAGGAGAGAGGAATAGAGCGATAAAGGAGGGTTGGAAGTGACCAGGGATAAAACCTTCTAAAGCCCTGTTTAAGGCTAAGTTATCATGTGAAGAATAAACACTGGTATTGGCAGCATGGTCTATTTCTGGAATTGTTTGACTCAATATCATACTGTAAATATCACTGACAATGTATGGTCCTTATTACCCTCCCATATATGCGTCTTCCCTTCTCTCAAGCGGGCATGAAGAGAGGGTGGCGAGGGGTGTGGGGGTAAGGGGGTGCTGTGAGAGGGTTTCAGGGATGTTCCTCGTTAAACAGTGCCCAGTGTGGTGCCCCATCACTGTGCTGCCACTTGCTACATTAATCACTAACATGACCATCAGTTCAGGAGCTGACATGGGACTGAAAACATTCCGCTAAATTAAGCAACAGAGAAAGAACCTGTTAAATAGGCTGTGTTGGTGCGTGTGTGTTTAGTAAACAAAGCCTCGTCTGTAAAGGTTGTTAAGTGCCTGGAAACACTTTTGTCCCCGGGTCACAATTACACAGAAACCTTTGCCTTTCACGCCAGCTCGCTCAGGATTAGTTAGCAACAAGGCAAGTGAACTGACCTGAACGTTAAAAAGCACAACAGAAAAGACTTCAAACAATGTGACATGTGCAAAAAACAGCCAGTTGCCAAATCATTGAGATCAGAGAGTGAAACTAACTCAAGGCAACCAATTAGACCACGTAAGGGCTGACAGTGAAGCCATGGGAGCTGTTTTGTGGGGTGAGGTGAGTAGTGGCAGCGCTCAGTCTGTGGTACGTCACCCAACCACAATTGGTCATTTACATCATGGTTGTCCACAAACGTTTTATCTGGGGGTTTGTTGGCAGGATATCAGGAGAAACTCCCTTCCCTTTTTGAATAGTGCCACGGGGTGTTTAACGTCCACCTGAAGAGGCAGACAGGACCTCGGTTTAACATCTATTTGAAAGCCAATACTTCCAACAATGCACGCACCCCCAGCACTGCACCGGTGTCTCAGCTTAGATTATATGAGTTCCAAGTCAAAAAGTTGCATTTATATAGCGCCCTTCGCCTGGGATAGGGTCTCGGACCGCTTAACGGTGGCGGAGCCTGACACCGAGTCCAGGGAGAGAGGTTGAGGTGACCGCAGTCAAGGTCCAGGATGAAGGTCTTCTGAAGACGGGCAAAGAGTAGGGAGTTCTGGGGACGGAAGCGGGGGGTGTGGGGTGGCGGGGAGTGAGACAAGCTACACTGCAGGTTGTGAGAGCGGTGGAATGCCGCCCCCCTGGAACTCAGGTTAAATATCTGAAAAGGAGAAACATAAAAAGTGTGTGGGGGAAAGAGATCTGTTTCAGAGACCACAGAGCCACAATGGATAAATGGCCTCTCTGTAGATTTCCATGGTTCTATGGGATTGGGACAGGAAATGTCTGTAAGCGGTCACCTCCCCATGACCTCTCCTTTCGCTCTCTGGCCTTTTCACCTTTGAAGCCCTCCACGGTCTATCAACTCCCTACCTCTGCAATCTATTATGGCTTCACCAACCTGTCCGCTCCTTCCGCTCTGCAGGCACTGGCCTGCTCCACGTCCCCCACCCTACATGCTCCACTATCAGCGGTCAGGCCTTCAGCCTTTTTTACCCGCACCCTCTGGAACTCCATCCTGGAGGCCCTCTGCCTCACCCCCTACCCTTGACCTTCAAGCCCCTACCTTTTGGACTGGGACTTCGGTCTTCTTCCCTCCTCCACCATCTCTGACCTCCACCACTCTCTGATCCCAACCCCCTGCTCAGGTGGAAACACTTCATTGCTCCCCATCCCCCAGAGAATCGAGTACAAAACCCTCATTCTCACCTTCATAGCCCTACACGGTCTTGAATCCCCTACCTCTCCGAACTCCTACACCCTCCCAGCCACCCCCTTGCTTTCCACCCCTCCTGACCCGAAATCCCAGCTCAGGTCCAAACAACCCTGAGCGTCCTTCGCCCTGGGATGTCTTTCCGATGTGAAGGGCGCTAAACAAGTGTAATTTGCTGTTGTTGCCTCAACGACATGATAAGGCGCTATATCAAATGGAAAGATTATTATTATTGTCACATCCTTTCGCTGCTTGTTCACGAAGTCACTGGAGAGGAAAGCCAACGCACCTCGGGGGTAATTCAAAGCCCAGAGGGGTGGGGGCGCCAGGGTGGGGAAGTCTCTTTAAGAGTACCGTTCATCTCGAATGTTTCTTAAAGGGGCCGAGTTTACTCACCGTGCGTCCAGGAAGCGTGAGCGTAGGATCATGACGGCCTCGCACGTGCTCTGTTTGAGCTGAATCTGGATGGAGCTGAACTTGCGGTGGATGATGCTGACCATCCGCTCGATCTCCTTCGGGGAGATGGGCCGCGTCCGGCTCTGCTCCCGTAGCAGGTTCATCACGTGGGTGGTGAACTCGTTACATGCCTGCAGGAGATCGGCGGGACAACAAGTTAGACAGCAGCCCGACTGACCATCCATCCAGCTGACTTACTGACCGTCTAACCGACCGACTTACTGACCAACCGACTTACTGACAGAGGCCCGACCAACTGACTGGTGACCAACCAACCGATCGACTGACATCTCAAAGCTCTTCACAGGCTTCACTGTGAAGTATATATATCACCGCACAGCTTGCCATGGAGAGTGCTGTCTGGCAAGCTTTCCCACTGATTGTCCAGCTAGGGCCACCCCAACCCGTGAGGACTTTGGCTCATAGGGTTAGCGGGAGCTGAGTGGGAAGAGTCCCTGCCCCCAGTGACTGGTCACTTCAGGGACAGATGTGATATAATAAATCTCTGCACTCGAGAGACAGGGTTCTGGGAATAATTCAGTTGCGGAGAGAGGTTTATCGTGTCTCACTGCAGGCTCTGACACAGCCTCGCTATATATCAAGCCAAGACTGCAGTGTTGACACACTACACTCCCCATAGCATCATCGTCTATCCAGTTCAGGATCACAGCGTGTTACATGCTGGCTTGCCAGAGCAGGCTATTCAATCAGCCTGTATTTGATGGAGTGAGACACTTTGTCTCGTGTGTATCTCATTGTCACCTGATAGAATGCTTCCCTCTGTTATAGCATTAGTCTGTGTGTGTGAGCCTGGAGCAGTGGTAGCGCTCTCGACTCTGAGTCACAAGGTTGTCGGTTCAAGTCCCATGTCGGGACTTGGAATCGCACAGTCTAAGCTGACGCTCCAATGCAGTGCTCAGGTGTTGTTGCATTGTCGGAGGTGTCAACCTTTGGATGAGACATTAAACCGGGGTCCCGTTCTGCCTGTTCTGGTGAATGTTAAAGACCCCACGGTGCTATTTGAAAGGAGAAGGGAGTTCTCTCTCCCCGGGGTCTTGGCCAACAATCCCCCAAATAAAAATTGGTCACTCGATCAACGACTATTTGTGGGACACTACTGTGCGTAATTGGCTCCCGCGTTTCGCCCACAAAATACCGTCACTGCCCTTCACAGTGTATCCTGTGACGCGCTTTGAGAAGTCTCAACGACGTGATCAGGTGCTACGGGGATGTACCTGTTCGTACTTCTCCAGCTCGGTGTGATAGATGTGCCTGATCTGGGTGAGTTTGGCTCTGTAGTCGCTGTGTTCGGTGCTGTTGTCAGAGGCCGTGCCGCCCACCGCCGCTGCCGCTGCCGCCGCCGCTGCTCCCGCGGACCCCCCTCCCTTCTCGGGCCCAGCCACGCCTTCCGCCACCAGCATATTGTCCAGCCGCAGGAGCTGGGGATCAGGGAGCTCCTCCTCCTCCGCCCCGCGGATACTCAGCACTGAAAGAGAGGGCAGAGGTCACACACACACACGAGGGAAAGGGGTGACAGGAGAACAATGAAATAATAATCTCTGCATTTGATGTAGTGCCTTATCACGTCGTTGAGACATAACATAACATGTAGGAGCAGGAGTAGGCCATTCGGCCCTTCGAGCCTGCCCCTCTATTCAATCATGGCTGATCTTCTAATCTAACTCCAGCTAATACCATAACCCTGCCTTATCCCCATATCCCTTAATCCCTTTTGCAATAAGAAATCTATCTATCTCAGTCTTGAATATGTTCAAGGACTAAGCGTCAACAGCCCTTTGGGGTAGTGAGTTCCATACATTCACCACCCTTTGAGTGAAGAAGTTCTTCCTCAACTCAGAGTGAAAGGGCTGGCCTCTGATTTTGAAGTTGTGACCCCTGGTTTTAGTTTCTCCAACCAGGGGAAACAATCTCCCACTATCTACTCTATCATGCCCTTTGATGATCTTAAAGGTTTCTATAATTCTTCTATATTCTAGAGAATATAGACCCAAATTGGTCAGCCTATCCTCGTAACTCATCCCTTTCATCCCTGGTTCTAACCTAGTAAATCTACGCTGCCCCTCCAAGGCAAGTTCATCCTTCCTTAAATAAGGAGGCCAAAACTGCACATAGTAAGACGTCTCTAGGCGCTGCAGAGAATATACTGTAAAGTGAATTGACGGTGTATTTTGTGGGCGAAACGCGACAGCCAGTTGTGCACAAGTGTCCCACAAACAGTAATTGATTGAATGACCACATTTTTTTTTGGAGGGATTATTCGCCAATCGACTAACAACCGGGCTCCTACTTACTGCAGGGTAATCAGAGTAAGGAAACTTGCCTTAAGGTTTTGCCCGGCCAAGGAAACAAACCCCCATCCTCTCGCTTGCTAACCACTACACTAAGGGACTCCAAAAAATGAGAGGGGAAGAGAAGACAATGCACAACATCAAGTGAAAATAGAAGAGAGAAGGGCTGAGGCTGTTGCTGATCACTAAGTGACAGAAAGCCAGAGGTGCTAACTAAGTGGGGCTTGGCATGTTTGGAAGGTAACGGGATGGAAGGGAATGACAGTAGGATCTGGATGCCTTTAAAGTGCCAGTGTGTGATGTTAACCCTGGCTCCTGAGCACAGCCCAGAGCTATTTTAGCAAGAAAAACCCAGAGCAGTTATTTTCCTATATTTCGCTGCTGACATCAGGCCCGAGGCATGCACATGACAAGTACTGAGGAGGCCAGGCTTTCAGACACGCTATGGAATTTTAGGATAAACAAGAATTTGGCAGCTACAACGCAGGTTAGAGACAGAGTAACGCTCCCTCTACACTGTCTGCCCACACTCCCAGGTCAGCCACAGCGCAGGCTGGAGACAGAGTAAAGCTCCTTCAACCCTTGCTTTTGAGAGAGTCCATACAATAATAATAATAATAATCCTTTTAATTTGATTTGATCCAGCCTGTTATATGGGGAAGATGTTTCAAAGCGCTTCACAGGATTTACTTTAAAGTGACTGTGTGTTTTGTGGGCAAACACAAAAACACCTGTCTGTGTGTGTATGTGTGTGTGTCAGTGTGTATGTCTGTGTGTGTGTGAGTGTTTGTGTGTATGTGTATCTATCAGTGTGTGTGCAGGAAGGTGAGGAGGGAACAGTGCAAGAATGTGCTCCAGAGAGGGAGAGAAGCACACAGATAGAAACAGAGACACTGATAGAGACAGAAACACAGATAGAGACAAACACACACATGCAGCTAGAGACAGAAACACAGATAAAGACATAAACACCAAAAGAGACAGACACTGAGACACACAGAGATACAGACACAGAAAGAGACTGAGACACAGAGACAGACACACACACACTGAGACACACAGACTGCTGTGCGCAATTGGCTGCCACGTTTTGCCCACAAATATACAGTCAGTTCATTTTACAGTATACTCTGTGAAGCGCTTTGAGACGTCTAGAAGACGTGAAAAGCGCTATATCAAATGCAAGTATTATTGTAAACTGTGAGACAGACAAACACACACACAGAGAGAGACAAACAGACATGTGCGCACACACAGGCAGAGAGATAGAGACAGACACACAGAGAGACACACAGAGTGAAGCCCTGTGGAGAGGAATGAGAAGCAGCAGCGAGCTGGGTGCTGGGTGCTTGTATGGCAGTTTTCATAAGGCATCGCTCTCTGACTTGCCATGAGCTTATGTGTGAATAACTAATAGTAATTAATTCTTAATTACCGTAATTAAGCAAGTCACAGAAAATTAAACGGCATCTGGAGGTGGCAGGGCTGTGCTAGGCTGAGAGCAGTCGCGGGAGGGCAACAACAACAAATTACATTTACACAGCGCCTTTCACGTCGGGAGGACGTCCCAAGATGCTGCACAATCAGGGATTTTGGCCCCAAACTGGAGGTTGGGATTGGGAGGGGTGCAGGGCAGAGGGAGGGTGGGTGTAGGAGGGTGCCATAAGATGCAGTCAAAGAGGAGGATTTTGAGGCGAGCCTTGAAGGAGGCAAGGAAGGGGCCAAGGCAAAGGGACTGTCAGGTTTTGTGTCAGGGTGTGTCAGGTTACGTGTCAGGGAGTGAGGCATGTTATAATTGAGATGGTGTGTGATGTTCGGTGCCTGCCTTGGGACATCCTCCTGACGTGAAAGGCGCTATACAAATATAATCTGTTGTTGCTGTTGCCTGTGAGCTGCTCCGAGCTGACACACGTTACACACGTGATGAGCTGGGCGGCTGACGGGCACTGGGGCCGTGCCTGGGGACTGGGTATAAAACACACGGTGCCAGGCTCACACGCGGTAATCACAGGGTTAAACACGGCAGGCCACACTCTCAATCACATCGCCTCTGCTATGCAACACTGACAGACACAGTGACACTTCATTTAAAATCTCATTTATACATCAAAGCGTGTCAGTCTGGCTCAGTCACTCGCACTCTCACCTCTGAGGCAGATGGTTGTGAGTTCAAGTGCCACGTTGGGACTTTAATAATAATAATAATCCTTGCATTTGATAATGCACCTCATCATCCCGGAAGGTTGTATCAAAGCACTTAACAGGGTATACTGGAAAGTGGAGGGACTGTGCATTTAAATGTGGGTGAATCGTGGCAACCAATTGTGCACAGCAGCGTCCCACAAACAGCCAAGAAACTAACAACCAATTTTATTTGGGGAATTGTTGGCCAGGACCGGGAGAAAGAAACTCAAGTGCCGCGGGATCTTTAACATCCCCTGAACAGGCAGACGTGTGACGTATCATCCAAAAGATGATGCACCACATCTCCAGTCCTGACATGGGACAAAGTGTGACAAAGTGGAGACATACTATAAACGCGTGTGACCCCTGCCTGCCTGAGACAAGAGTGTACATACCACAAACGTGTGTTAGTTAGGATGCTGTCACCCCAAAGACTTCAGTTTAGCCCTCATGCATCCCTCGCTTGTTTTGGCAGTCTGGCTCTCTCTCTCTCTCTCTTTCTCGCCTCCGAATCAGAGGGTTGTCGCAATGCAGCGCTGGGGGTCTGGTGCATTGTAGGAGGTGCCGTCCTTCAGATGAGACATTAAACCAATGTTCCGTCTGCCTACTTCAGGTGGATGTTAAAGATCCCATGGCGCCATTGTAAAAGAGAAGGGAGTTTCTCTCCCCCAAATAAAATCAGTCACTCACTCCATGGCTGTTTGTGGGAAATTGCTGTGTGCAAATTGGCTGCCGTGTTTGCCCACACAGTCACTTTACAACATACCCTGTGAAGCGCTTTGAGACAGGGTGACAATGTGATAAGGCGCTATATCAGATGCATAGGATTATTTAATTCTTATCGACTCGGCCTGCTTAAACCCGGTCTCCGTCCATTCGTCCATCGGACTATCCTCCAAACACCCCCCAACCCCCCCGGCAATGATGTGCTGATCTGATTGCAAGCTGCCTCTCTCGCAGGGTCTCTGAGCAGCCATTATACATTCCTTTAACAGGACAATCCGGCTCGCTATCAGGCCAGAGCATATGGCCCGCGCTGGGAGATAGTGGATGATGGACGTGTTATTTCCATTGTAATGGGGAGCAGAGAGCAGGGCTGAACATCCCCGGCTCAGTGATAAGGCTGCCTATTGTCTGCTGCTCAGCTCCATCAGTGCAGAGTGTTACACTATCTGAGAGGCTCTGATTAAAATTTGTCTGAATGCTTCGCACTGTCACCCAGCTCTCACACCCCAACTCAGCTCTGCACCATTTGTTACCAGTTGTTATTTGGAGCTTCAGCCTGGCTCAGTCAGTAACACTCTTGCCTGTGAGTAAGAAGGTTGTGTCTTCAAAAACAACAAATTACATTTATATAGCGCCTTTCATGTCTCAGGAGGAAGTCCCAAGGCGCTGGACAATGAGGGGTTTGCACCTAAGCTGTGGGTTAGGAACATAAAAATAGTAGCAGGCCAATCGCCCTTCAAGCCTGTTCTGCCATTCTATTAGATCATGGTTGATCTGTACCTTACCCTCCTTTGCTCCATATCCCTTGATACTCTGACCTAACAAAAATCTATCCACCTCAGTCTTGAAAATTTGAATAGATTCAGCATTCACACCCTATTGAGGGAGAATTCAAGATTTCCACTACCCATTGTGTGAAAATTGGGTTGGGATCAGAGAGGGCAAAGGGATAGAGAAGGGAAAGATGACAGAAGCCACAGTCGAAAAGGCAGATCACTACACTTTACAATAATTATCGTGAAGCACTTTGACATGTCACAACATGCTGGGTAGTTTTGGTACCAAGTATCAAACAACCATTTGTGGGGGGGCCACCCAGGTGTCTGACATGTGGAAACCCGTCACTATTCTAAGAGTATCCAAACCAAACTGAATTCCATGCATCCCACCTACACATGGAAATCCCAGAGATAGATTGTTGGAATGAAATGCCCACTCTGGCCCTGGAGGGACACACTGGGTATACGTTGGGGTAACTGCTGGAGTC